TCGGGCATTTTCAAAATGAAGTATAAGAGAAACCATAGGTTTTCGAGCCAATAAAAATCTCTAACATAAAATTGCACACAGTTTTGATAAAATGTTGCAATGAGAAAATTTGCCAAAAAGTCCTTGAATGTAAACGTATAGTCTTTATCGCATACTTAGCGAGATTTGACGGAAATGTGAAGTTAATTTTAAAGCGGAATGACACGTTTGATTTTTATTTTTATTGCCGAGTCCCCAGAGTTGAGATGAGTTATACAACTTTCAGAAATGCGATAACGTCAAAGCAGTCTATCGGATACTATGTTTACTGCGATGTAATTTGAAAAGTTCGTAATGAAAATACTTCCTCCCATATAACTCTTATAGTTTGTGTCTTAAGTGGGTCATGTAATAAATGTTTAAAATAATGTTTTACGTGTTAGTGTCAAAATAGTTAAAAAAGAGAAACAGTGGGTGGTACTGTAGTCTAGCGTGGAGCTTCATCCTATGTTTAAATCAATTTTATTGTTTAATTATTTAATAAAAAAAAACTTATACAGAAGTTAAAACACTTCACACAGTATTCAACACTTAAAATACGGTAGACGAAAACAGCAAAGAAAACGGTTAATGAATTTTTGTACATGGAATGTGCAAGGTATCTCCCGAAACACAACAGAAATCATGTCAGAACTCAAAAATGCAGAGATAAATATCGCGGTACTTACAGATACTAAAAAGAAAGGTATGGGTTCTGAAAAGTGGGGTCACTATGACCTGTTCTATAGTGGAGTAACTAAAGACCAAATAGCACAACAAGGTGTTGCTATTGTTATTCGCTTCAACACGCTTCAACAGTTTCCAGCTGTTTTCCGTGTGTAGAGGTTTACTCTTCGGCTCTGGAACTGACTTCAGCAATGTATGTTACCTGAAGTCATATTTAATTTAATACTGAACATCACAGTTTTTTAACAACAAGATGTATAATCTTTTACAACTATATGTAATTTAAAGGGTTTTTACCCATGTATTTTGGTGGCTCAGGCCTTTTAACCTAGCAATTTTAAAATTTAAACCTGATGATGAACTGTTTAGTCCGAAAACGTTTTTTTTTTTATGTAGCCCTTTTAAGGGTTTTTAAATAAATATACTTACTAACACTTACGAAGACTAACCTCTTTTTTATTTCAATTAATATTTTTATTTGTTCTACATCTAAAAGGTTTAGCAGTTCTCCAGGTATATCATCAAGTCCCGGTGTCTTTCCATCCTTCATTTGTCTGACAGCTGCCGTTATTTCTTCTGGTAGGATTTCGGGAGCTGAATTTTCTTTAATGGTGGGTTCTCGTGTTGTTCTAAAGTCGTTGAAGAGTTTGTCCAAGTATTCTTTCCATACTTTCTTTTTGTCTTCTTTAGTTATGGCAAGATTGCCTTTATCATCTGTTATTTTTCCGCTGTTGCGTTTTCGGTACTTTCCAGCTATTTCCTCTACCTTTCGATGGACATTGAAGGTATCAATCGACTCTGGTACTTTTTTATTTCTTAACATTGTTCTGTTTTTTGTTTCTCTTTTACTTCTCTTATCATTGTTCTGACGATGGTATGTATTCTCTTATATTCTTGGAGATTTTCTTTGTTTTTCTTTCTCTGATTCACCATCCATCCTCTGATTCTCTGATACGTTGTTTACTTAGGACAAATCTGACAAACTCAGACCAAATATCAATAATAAAATATAAATATTTTATTTTTGAGTCTCAAGATTGACATACATAGCAAAATGCAACTTGTTCGCCTCGTTTTTATATTATAATAAATATGGCACTGAAACTGTTTTCCTCTGGTATTGCTACGTTATCTAGTTTATATAATGAGAATTAATCATAATTTTAATTAACAATAGTCTTATTATGATTTTAAGAATGATTTTAGAAGTAAAAATACGCACAAAATGTGTTATAAAATCAAACTCATTAATTAATTTCCAAAATGACCAAAACATCGAAGCTTTTCATGTTTAACGAATCCAACAAACAATACAGCCTTTGCTCTAGTTACGTAGATTATAAATTTGGTATATAGAGATTATCTGTGTTGCTTCATAAATCTTTACTGTGTTTCTTGTTAATCAAGAAAGGTGAGATTTATCGTGGCTCAAAGTTTTGATTGATATGTTTTCGTGGAAAGAAACAAAGATAAACCGAGGCTAGTGTTTTATCAGACAACTTTATCCAGTTAAAGCAAAATAGAAATTAATTTCTACAGGGAAAGTTTACAGCCACCCTCGATTGAGTGGTGCAAAGCTGGAAATGATATTAACACGGTAGGGCATTTTTTTTTATTGTTCTATTGTATCATTTTTAATATCGAGAGACAATTGTTTTATGTAACGAAAGATTGGCCAATACTTTTCTGTTGAAATGATCACATTTATTGACCCTTTTAATCTATAGATATAGGAGCTGATACAAAGGAGAGGGCAAAGGAAGGCGTAGGGATGATAATTGCACCGAATAGACTACAATACGTTATAGAAGAAACATATGTTAACCAGAGAATATTATTGCTAAAAATGAAACTGATAGACGAGGAAATATGGACAATAATAACAGCCTACGGAGTAAATGAAGATTCAAAAAATATTCAAAAAAGGAAGAGAAGGATACATTTTTTGAGGAGCTCCAAACGCAAATTGACAATGGGAAGAAAATATAATAATTGTAATGGGAGATCTAAACGGTAGAGTCGGAAATAATAACAATTGAATTGAGGAATGTATGGGAAAAGAAGGAGAAGAAATACTAAACAAAAATGGTGAAAGAATAATAGAAATATGTATGGAGAATAAACTTGTTATAACAAATACAAAATTTAAAGATAAAAAAGTTCACAAATACACTAGAGTATAAGAAAGCAGAAATGAAAAATCAATCATAGATTACTTTTTGGTAAGTAGCAACAAATGGAAAAGAGTACAAGACACGAAAGTGAAAAGAGGCTCAGAGATCGGCAGTGATCATGATCTAGTAATAATGAGAATGAAAACAGCAAAAGAAAAGAGGAGAAAAATAGTAAATGAAAAAGTAAAAAGCTACAAATTAAAAGAAGAAATATATAAGAACATATTCCAAGAAAAATTAGATAATATTTTGAAAGATCAAAAAGGGCAAAAACTGCAAGTATAGAAGAAAAGTGGGAAAATCTCATGACCAACTTAATCATAGCTGCTGAGGAAACTTGCGGGAAGACAAAAATAGTAAATAATAGCATGAGGAAAAATTGGCTACAAGTAGCGTACAATAAAAACCAATGGAAAGGAAGACTTGAAGAGGCTTATGTTCAGATGTGGACGTGAATGGCTAGACGAAGAAGAAGAAGAAGAAGAAGAAGCATGAGGAGAACTGAATGGTGGGCGGACGAAATACGAAGGAAAACAAAGAACAAAAAAGAAAAATAGAAGAGATATCTAAGTACAAAGCGCCCTGAAGACTATGAGGCATATAAAAAAAAAGAAAAGAGGGTAAAATAGCTGTGGAAGCAGAAAAAGAAATGTCATGAGAAAAGTTTGGACTAAAAATGACAAATAATTATAGGGAAAATCAAAAACTCTTCTACGACGCATTAAAACAGCTCAGACAAAAGAAAGAACACATAATGCCGAATATAAAGACAACAATGGAAAGGTAATAACAGAAGAAAACCAAATAATGGAAAAATGGAAAGAACATTTCAAAGAGCTAACTCATACAGACGTAAACAACTTAGTGGAGATACAAGAAATAAATGAAGAACAAAAAGTAGAACCCATAACAACAGAGGAACTAGAAAAGGCAATTAAAAGAGTTAAATTAGGCAAAGCACCAGGCAAGGATAATATCACCCCGGAAATGATAAAATTTATGGGAATAGAGGGAGTGGACAGCGTGAAAGAACTAATGAATGATATCATAAAGAGAGCAGAAATACCACAGGACTGGAAGAAAGACATTATACTACCAATACACAAAAAGGGCGACAAAAGAAACTGTAATAATTACCGAGGTATTATTATATCAAGTATTTCTGGGAAGGCGTTGGCAAGAATAATAGAAACAAGAATAAATAAGCCAAATAGAACCAACTATGGAAGATACACAATGTTGATTCAGGAAGGACAGAAGCACACAAGATCACATATTCACAATAAGACAAGTAAGTGAGATAGTAATCAATAAAAATAGAGAAATACATATATGCTTTATTGATCTGGAAAACGCGTTTGACAGTATCCAAGGAAAGAATGCATGGAGGACATTAAAGGAAAGGGGAGTTGACAAAATAACAATTGATGTAATAAAGAATATGTACAATAATAATACAAATACGGTGACAACCAATAACGAGAAATTCGAAGAATTTACTACAAGTCAAACAAGGATCGTGTTGAGCCCACTGCTGTTCTCATTGGTACTAGATGAAGCAATAAAGAAAGTCAAGAGAAGGGTGAGAAAACTAACATTAGGATACTGACAAATGAAACAGACTTAACTATCACAGCTTTTATTTGCAGACGACATAGTTTTAATAGCAGAAAACAGAGAAGATCTACAGAACAACCTTAAAATCCTAGAAGAAGAACTGACAAACATAAATATGAAGATAAATACAGAGAAAACGAAAAACAGTGATAAAATCAAATAAGAGAAAGACACACACAATACAATTAAACTGAAAACAACTAGAACAAGTTAAACATTTTAAATACCTAGGAGTAATAATTAAATCAAACGGTAAAGAAGACATGGAAATAAATGAGAGAATGGGATGAACAGGAAGCTTATTTAACACTATGAAAACAACATTTTTTGGGAAAAAAGAAATACCGGAGAAGGTAAAACTAACAATGCTAATCAATGCTATGGAAATGAGCTTCCTGAGGAAGATAGCAAACAGAAAGAGGACGGACAAAGTGCGGACGAAACAATCAGACAAAAATTAAAAGTAGAACCAATAAACGAAAAAATAGAGGAGGGGTAACTAAGATGGTTCGGGCAATGTGTAGAATGTCGAATGAAAGATTAACAAAACGAGTGTTTGAAACGAGAGTGCAAGGGAAAAATAAACAAGGAAGACCAAGAGTTAGGTGGGTGGACGAAATCAGGAGGGAAGTTGAGAAGAAAGGATTGTCATGGGAAAGTGCACGAGGTTTAACACAGAACCGGAAAGCATGGAGACAACAGTGCCAAACTTAACTCCACCAGCCGTACACCTAACGGTAGAAAGGCTTAGGACTAAGTAAGTAAGTAAGTAATTATAGATTTAATAATTGTAAATATAACTTAAGAATAGCAAATAAGCATATAACCGTAAAACAGCAAATAGAAGTTATAAAACAAATCCCAATATTCATAATTTAATTGTATACAAAAAATTGGATGCATTAGCAAAGAAAAATGTTAAAATTAGAAAAAAACAAAGTTGGATAAACTACTGCGAAAGCCTTAACTCCCACAGTCCAATCAGCGACATCTGGAAGATGATACATCGCTACAAATACCGAACGTAGTCCAATAAACTCTCGATAAACTGCGAAGCTGCATGGATAGAAGATTTCTACTTTAAAATTTCACCTTCTTGGGTCCAAATTAAATAAACGAAGTTACAGTCACCGTTTCCAGAGAATATTCCAATCTAGAAAGACCATTTAAATTGTGGGAATTAAATTATGGACTCAAACAAAATAATAGTTTGTCTCCAGGGATGGATTGTATATCATACTCTACGTTATATTTTTTACCCACAGAATACAAATCATTATTACTACAATTTTTTAACAATTTATGGCAAAATGAGAATTTAGTTCCCAAAACATGGAAAAACTATATTGTATTGCATATAATGAAGCCAGGAAAGCTAGATAAGAACGTTGAGTCTTACAGACCTATATTCAGTTTCTAAAAACTAAAAACTCTAGAGAGATTATTCAAAAATCGGCTTGAATACTGGCTTGAATCCGAAGATATCCTTCCCAAATCTCAATATGGCTTTCGGAAATCCAAGTCTACACAATATGCTCTCACTTCACTAGTTTCCTCTGTTCAGGTCAATTTCACAAATCAAGAATCTACAGCTGCAGCATTTATAGATGTAACCTCTGCATTTGATAACATAAATTTATATAACAAAAAGAGAAATCATACGATTTCTATCTGGCGAAATCGAATTCAAATCTTTAACACTCTGCTTTCTAAAACTGGCAAAGCAAACAGCTTGATAAATTACTCGGCAAGGAAATCTAAAATTGCATTCCACATGCCGTTCATTATGGTCAAAATTCGTAGTGAATTCAATTTCTAAAAATAAAATATAAAGACGGTACTAGATTTTTGTTTTCAAATGAAACAAAAATCTAGTACTGTCTTTAGATTTTATTTCTTTACTCCGTTTGGAGTACCAGAAATTGAACTCACTACGAATTTTGACCATGATGAACGGCATGTGGAATGTAATCCTAGATTCTCTTGCGAGTAAGTTATCAAGCTGTTTGCTTTGCAAGTTTCAGAAAGCACATTGGTAAAGATTTGAATTCGATTTCGCCAGGTAGAAAATCGTATGATTTCTCTTTTCGTTATTAGATGGCGAAGTTACGTCCTTAAATAGTTATTTTGATAACTATGGTCTATGACGGGAATATGTTCTCGGACGCGACTAGTTCGCGCTCGAGACGCATCGCCCCGCCCCTCATTTTTTCCTATTGGTCCCTGACCTGGAAATCCCTTCACGGGCCCGTGAAGGTCCCTGACCATCACGGGCTCTCCGAGAGCTTAGTGCTCTCGGGGCTCTGCTTCCTTTTTAGCTTTCCATACTTTGTGGCTGAGTTTTATTATTCAACTACAATTTGGTGTTTTATTTCAACTTAATATTTTTCATGTAAGAAATAACTTGCCTTTTTCAAGGCAAGTCACCAAAGAAGACAACCTGATGGTTTATTTCAACGGAGAATTCTCGTCATGTAAGAAATAACTCGTCTTTCTCAAGACAAGTCATCAGATGAGAAAAGTTTTACAAGTCCATAACCTATAAGTGGACTTGGATAGAGGTGCTTACGTTGACGTCTCCGAAGCCCTCTACATAGCACCCGGAGGCAATAGAAGGATGGTAGACCCCTATTTGTTCCCCCGCGGTGACAAATAGATTTTGTTTCGATCCAGAGAGGTAGCTGTACCGCTCTGAGGAGGCCTAAAGAGGTCGAAATACGTATAAGCGGCTTGCCGCCGCTCTGTATTAAAATAAAAATCTCGCCCGTCTTTACATACATTTATATATTCAGGGTAGTATTTTAAGTCCTTCTTCGCAGCGAAGAAGGACGAGTATTACTGATGTTGTGGAACGCAAAGCGGAACTAAAATGGAACTGGGCAGGCCATGTAGCGAGAATGCACGATTCACGATGGACGAGCAAAATTACAAATTGGAGGCCAAGAGCAGACAAACGCAGTAGATGAAGACCACCTACACGTATCACTAAAAATTGGCAACAAAGAGCACAAAATCGTGAGGAATGGAGGAGTTTAAGGGAGGCCTATGTCCAGCAGTGGACGTGATAAATAGAGGCTGGATGATGATGATGATGATTTTAAGTTCACTTCTCTTTTCATTGTTACCTATGAATATAGACCAGCAATATAGACCTAAAACAGATAGTACTCCCACACTCTAATATATTGCAGTTTGCAGATGATGTTGTGTTGTATACCTCCATACTACCCTTGACATTTGTAGGCTTCAACTCGAATCTACACTAGATTGTGTATAAAATTATTACCATTCTCTAGGCTTATCAATATCAACCACAAAGGCTGAAATTTGTTTTTCCAAAAAACGCCAAACTCCTCAAGGTAGTTAATGGATTAGACCGTTACTTGATGGAAATTTATTTTATGCAACAATAAAAACACTGAAAACTTTGTTTTTAAATTTCCACAAAATTTATTTTAAATTATTATCACTACAGCGGTTTCGGCTGATTGCCTTTCTCAAGTGCAGTTTCAAAAGGCAATCAGCCGAAACAGCTGAAGTGATAAGAATTTAAAATAAATTTTGTGGAAGTTTACAGTGTTTTATTTATCAAGGTAACTTTAAATTAGAAAAAATAGAATTTCCAATCAAAAGTTGTGAAAAATATCTAGGCATATATTTAGATCGTAAACTGTTATGTATTTTAGTGTCCATGTTTCTACCATGGGTAGAAACATGGACATTAAAAGCGCAAATAGTTAAAAAGATTGAAGCCTTTGAACTTTAAACGATTTGAACCGGATATACCGGAGAATGTGAGAATCCCATGGACTGCCAGGGTCACAATGAGGAAGTGCTGAGAAGAATGGGTTGAGTCAAAAAATTGTTGAGAACGATAAAAGTACGCAAGACTGCATACCTTATACACATACTAAGAAATAATAAATATAGTCTTCTGCAGGTCATCATGCAGGGTAGAGTCGATGGCAAAAAGGGAATAGGTAGAAAGAGGAAGTCATGGCTGCGAAATATTCGAGACTGGACAAACATGACTGTAGACGAATTATTCCACGTTGCAAAAGACAGAGAAGCTTTTAAAAATGTGGTCGCCAACCGCCGTTAATGGGGACGGCATAGGAAGAAGAAGAAAACTGTTATGGAAGAATCAAATTCATTCTATTATAAAAAAATCGGAAAACTTCATGAATATCCTTAAAGCATTTTGTAAAACCAGTTGGGGTGCTGACCCGAATATTGCATTGCTATTCTATAGCTCGATGATTCGACCAATTTTCGACTATAGTTGTCATTTATATAGGTCTGCGTCAACAGAACATCTTAATAAAATTTAAATCCAAAAGAATAAATGTTTGAGGCTATCTTGGTTACTTAAAATCTACTCCTAATAGTATTATTAAAATCGAAGCAGAAGAGAGAAACACTACGTAGACAGTTTTGTACATATAAGTTTGTAGTTAGAGCTATATCAAAAAACTTCAGCTATTTAAAAAATATTCGTAACTTGAGTATATCAGACTTAAGCCACAAATATTGGCGTAACAAAAAAACTCCCATATACGTTGAAAGTTATAGGAAATTGACAATATTTGAAGAACAATTATATCAAAATAAATTACCACCAATTTATACTCAACTTTCTAAGACCCTCTTCTCCAAGATAGAAATAGAAACATATTCAATATATTTTTTACTGACGGCTCTAAAATTCAAAATAAAATAGGTTGTGCGATTATCAATCAGCTCTGAGTTGTCCATTGTTGAACATAGGCCTCCTCTAGACTTTTCCAGCTGTTTCTGTTCTGCGGCTCTGCTATCTAATTGGTCACGATTCTCTTGAGGTCGTCGGTCCATCGCGTTGGTGGTCTTCCTCGGCTTGGCTTGTCAGCCCGTGGTCTCCACTCAAGCAATTTTTTTGTCCAACTGTCGTCAACATTCTTGCAACATGTCCTGCCCATCTCCATTTTTGCCTTGTTAATATGTTCGATAATGTCTTCCATTCCAGTTCGTCGTTTCTTATTCCATTTCTTAAGCTTATTCCAAGCATTGATCTCTCCATCTTTCGTTGTGTAATTCTCAATTTTTTGCCTGACGTTTTTGTGAGAGTTAAGGTTTCTGCTCCGTATGTGAGGACTGGTAGAACGCACTGGTTAAAAGCCTTTCTTTTTAAATGGATCGGTATATTTGTTTTAAATACGTCTCTCATTTTTCCGAATACAGCCCAACCCAGACTTATTCTTCTGAGTAGCTCGCATGTTTGGTAATCTCACGTTAACCTTATTTCGTGACCCAAATACACATATTTTTCCACAAGTTCTATGGGCGACTTTTCGATTTCTATTAGCTCATTGGGGACGAGATTGTCATCATTTTTGTTTTTCCATCGTTTATTTTTAAACCGACTTTCTGGGTTACTTGCTGTAGTTGTTATAGCATAACTCTGGCTTCTCGTAAGTTGTCTGTTATGAGAACAATATCATCTGCATATCTGAGATGATTGAATATCTTTACATCGATGCTAATACCCTTTGATTCCCATTCTAGCCGTTTAAATGCGTATTCCATAACTATTATAAATAGTTTTGGCGACAAGGTATCTCCCTGCCGCAGCTTTCTGCCAATTTTTATCTTCTCAGTCATGCAACGGAGGTTAACGGTTGTTGTCGCATTTTCGTATATATTTCGAATAATATTTGCATATCTGTGATCTATTCTGC